GTGTTCCTCATAGAACCAAGCAAGGTGAAACTGTTAACAATCTCAATCTCTTCTCTGTCATGGTGCTGCCAATTGGCCCAGTGGTGAGAATCTTTATTTTCTTGATGTTGAGCTTCAATCCATATTGAAGGCTGGAGTCCTTGACCTTCTGCAGGGCATTTAAGTGCTCTGAGATTCCCATTCTTCTCAATGTTAACCATAATTTGTTATGATCCACACAGTCAAGTGCCTTTGCATAATCAATGAAATACAAGTAAACATTTTTCTGGTATTCTCTGCTTTCATCTAAGATCCATCTGACACTAGCAACAATATCCATTGTGCCATGGCTTCTTCTGAATTCAGCTTAAATTTCTGGCAGTACTCTATGTACTGTTCTAGGCATTTAAAAATAATATTAAGGAAGATTTTACATACATATATAAATGAGGGTTTTAATTGCTGATTTCAGATAAATCTTGGCTGAAAAGCACAGCATACCACAAAGATATTTGTATTTCATTATTTACAAAAAGGCATTTGACTGTATGGATAATAATAAAAATGAATAACAATGAGAAGATTGAGAATTTAAGAACATTTAATTGTGTGCATGTGGAGCCTATACAGGAACCTCTGAAACTATGGCCATTAGACACACATCAGGCCACAACATAACTCACTCTTATTGTTCAACTTTCCATCAGCTATGTGGGCCTACAAAGTGATTAATAACAGTAGAAAGTTGCTTACTCCTTCATAAAAACAAACATGTATGGATAAAGAGGTAGCATTTGCCCAATGATGGGGCCCAGAAGGCTGGACGGTATAGGATAGAAGGATTCAGGGAAAGAAGAATCATAGTAGGAATTGGGAAGGGTGCAGTTACAGTGCAAATGTTGTAATTCACGTTATAAAACAAAATACGTATCAGTGGTTAAGAGGAAAACCCAACTTGCTTTGTTAACTTTCAATCAGATCATAATTTTTAAAATGGTATTTTAGTTTGCTTTGACTCCACAATCAACACTCTTGGCACCAGCAGCCAGGAAATAAAGAGAAAAATTGCATTGGGAAAGTTGGCTGTCAGGGACCTCTCCAGAGTACTGAAAAGCAACGACATCAGTTTGGATGCACCTGATTCAGATCACAGTCTTCAAAATTGCTTGCTACGTCTCAGAGAACTAGACAATGACTGTTGTTGTTGACTGCTGTCAAGTTGAGCATGACTCAAAGTGCCCCTAAGAACAAAAGATCTGAACCCTATTTGATAATTATCATTGTTTCTCTAAGTTCGTAGTGTTTCCAGAGGCAGGTTGTTTAAGAATTGGATGTCACTCCTGCTTCCAACTCTGTCTTAATCTGGGAGTTCCACCAAACACTGTCCACCATGCGTAACCATTATAGCATTTGATACACCAGTGGCACAGTGTTAAGCATCAAAGCAACCCCAATACAGCAAACTGAAAGAACAGTGCTGTGCCCATTAGAAGAATGTTAGTCCCAAACACAATTAACACCATGCCCGAGTATATAAAAACATTTAAGTAAATGTCATCCTATTTCACACAACTCTACATTTTTCAAAACACATAGAGATGTACAGCTAACATATTTCTGTATATAAATTATACTTCAATAAACTTAATATAAGGGGAAAAATTAAAATTTAACCTATATGTAATATTCATTCCATTTCTAAAGGTTTTTATGGAAATGGAATAAACATTACATATTGGGTCACTAGGACTGAGAATTGACTCAACAGCACACAAGAACAGCTAAGTCTGGAAACTATCTAAAGGAGCCCCAGTGGTACAAATTGTTAAGGGCTCAACTGCTAACTGGAAGGCTGGCAGTTCAGACCTACCTAGTGCTTCCACAAGAGAGAGACCTGGCAAGCTGCTCCCTAGAGACTACAGCCTGAAAATCCTAAGGGACAGTTCTGTCATCAGGTTCAACTATGTGTTGAACATTACTTAATGGTATACAACAATTTTATCCGTAACAAGTCAATACAAGAAGAACTTTTCACTGACAACAGTAACTAATAACACAGAAGCAATCTTTCTAAACATAGAAGGTACAACTAAGGTAAAATGATCATAAAGCACATCTTATGTGCTCTCTCTCACAGTTGTCAGGTCAGAATCGACCCACAGCAGACCCTCCACTGGGTTTCCAAGACTGTAAACAACATGGGAAGAAACTGCTCATCTTTCTCCTGAAGAGCCTCTGATAGATTTAAATCACCAGAGAAGCCCCGCTTTTGGGTAAGTAGCAAAACTCTCTATGGTAAGTTCCAGAGAGCTCACTAAGTCACTGGAACTCCCTTATCTTATGTTAGAATGTGCTATTTTTATATCTTCCATAGTTAATTATAATTTGGAAAATATAGGAGTAGAAAAATGACTAATGGGAGTTAATGAAGATAATAAACTGTAGGCTTTTTAATTGAGATGCAAGAAAATCTAAAGATGATATATACACTGTGGCTATCATGACAATTTTAAAAGCAGGTTCATATGAAATAAATCTTGAGCATTAAATAGACTTTGTCTCATATTCATTTAATATACTGTATTCAATTAAATATTTAGTGTTATATACATATATACATATACATATACATATACATATACATATACATATACATATACATATACATATACATATAAAAGAAAATATTCTTTCATGGTACCAGTAAAAAATAGTATGTAGAGAAAAACTTTAAAAGCTGCAAATAAAATGTTCAAGAATATAGTTGACTCAATTATCTTTCTGATTCCAGTGAGAATAATTTACATTTGCCTTACACAGCTCTCGGACAATGATTAGGGATGATAGAAAGAGAATTGATGCCTTTGAGCTGTGGCACTGGAGAAGTGGAGTGCCAGGAGAACAAACAGATTCATCCTAGAGAGTATGAAGCAAGGCTGCTCCTTGAAGGCAAAGATTCTGAGACTTCGTCAGACATACTTTGGACATGTTGCAAGGAGGGACCAGTCCTTGGAGAGAGACATCATTCTTGGAAGGGTGGAGGGATGGAGAAAGAGAGGAAGACCATCAATGAGATAGACTGATACAGTGACTGGGATAATGAGGGTAGGTGTCAGAGACGGTAAAGTTGGCACAGTATAGAGCAGGTTTCAGGGCTGTTGTACATAAGGTCACTATGAGTTGCAAAAGACTCGATGGCACATAATAACAACAACAACACCTACAAACAGAATAATTTTTTATTAATTTTAATAGACATTTACAGAGGTTTTTTTATTTCCATTCATTCATTGCCGCACTTTTCTCCCTGCCCACCCCAGAATAATTTTTGTTTAGCTTTTCACAAATAGATTTTTATTGTAGTCATACATGGTTTCTTATAAAATATTACTTTTAACAGAAAAGCCCTCTGAAGAATTATATAGGGACCACGAGGGTCATAATGAGACCTTCCAATGCCAGCTATGTCCGTCTGTAGATTTCTTGTTATAGTGAATACAATTCGCTATTTGTTTAGAGTATTTTTTTCTGTTTGTTTCCAAAGTGCTCTTTTCTGAGGCAGATGAAAAGGGTTTCTTCTATAGCTTTGAAGGCCATTTTCTACCAGGGTCCAGCAGCAGTTTTGTCAAGGCAGGTTAGAGATAAGTGTCATCATCTTCTGGTCATTCATTCATGGAATTAAAAACCATCTCAAAGACATTGCTGTCTTTCCCCCCTCCTCCCACATCTCTTTCTTTCAGGCCGTCACCAATCACAGTTCTTAGTTTTTGTCCAGGAAAGCCCATGGATGCAATTGAATCTATATTTTGTGCAAGGACAAGGGGTCTGTGTCCTAATTAGCAAAGCCTGAGCCTCAACTGAATTCATATTATATACTTTCTGCAGCACCTTTTACTTTAAAACCTACGTTGTACAATATTAGACACAGTCTTACTGTAAATGATTTAAGCATTCAGCTTTTAAAGAAAAGGACAGCAGTTCTGATGTAGCAGCCAATGCATAGAATAAAGACCTGGCAGTCTGCACTTATACAGATTAAAATATAGGAAATCCTATATGGCAGTTCTATCTCATCCAATGGGAATATTCTTTGAGTTGGAATTTATTTGAAAATACACAATAACCACCATTTTTTATTATATTAAAAGGAAACCAATAGTATTCTCTAAGAAAAAAAAATTGTTAACTATAGAAAAAATGAAAGCAATGTAAACTATGGAACATTTATACTTAGCAGATCCTTTTATAAACATGAAAAACCAGTTCTTGTCCTATGTTCATTGACAGATTATTATTATTATTATTATTATTATTATTATTATTTTAAAGTCTCCCCCCATAATCATGTGTGCAAAAATACATTAGTAAAGTACAGTGGGGTTTTAAAAAAATTATAAGATATAGGACAGAGACAGAGGGCTGCAATCAAGTGAGAGGCTTCTTGCCAGAACGACCCATTGAGGTGGGGGAGGGAGCCACCTGCAACTCCCCTGAAGAAAAACTGCTTCAATTGGGGAACCTGGCTGCTGGGCCACTCCACAGGCCACCAAGGAAAATAGACTTTAAGAAAGGGGCCTGCACGCAAGTGAGATTTCCACAGGGCTGTATTGTAGATCAAAGAGGACATGAAGAACTTTAGGAGAGAAAACTTTCCCACTGCACAGACCCAGAAAAGACTTCTAGTAGAGTTAAGTTGCGCACTCTGATAAACGGAACTTAATAGAGAAACTGAATTCTATGAAAAGGAATGTGGTATCAGTATCAAGAACTTGAATTATGCTGATGACACAACTTTGCTTGCTAAAAATGAGGAGGACTTGAAACACTTGTTGCAGAAGAGGAAAGAATACAGCCTTCAACATGGATTTCAACTCAATTTCAAGAAAACAAAGATTCTTACTTATGGGTCAATTGGCAATATCATAATAAAAGAAGAGGCGTCAGCGTCCTCCAGCCCTGGAAAGGGCGCTGGGCTCTTTCTGCAAAGGAAAGAAGACGAAACTCTCTCCTCTTAGGAAGGAATTATCTATAAAGTAAATATGCTCATATTGAATAAGACGGCAGGATCTTTTTCTAAGCCATCAAAAAGAAAAATTTATGAAATACTAAGATGTTTTCTTTTTCATCCTGGAAAACGATTTCTCCATAAACTAGTATTGGGAATTGAAACCAGTTGTGATGATACAGCAGCTGCTGTGGTAGATGAAACTGGAAATGTGTTGGGAGAAGCAATACATTCTCAAACTGAAGTTCATTTAAAAGAAGGTGGGATTATTCCTCCAGTAGCTCAGCAGCTTCACCGAGAAAACATTCAACGAAGAGTACAAGAAGCTCTTTCTGCCAGTAAAGTCCCTCCAAGTGAACTTTCAGCAGTCACAACTACCATCAAGCCAGGACTTGCTTTAAGCTTAGGTGTAGGGTTATCATATAGTGTACAGCTTGTAAACCAGTTGAAAAAGCCTTTTATTCCCATTCATCACATGGAGGCCCATGCACTTACTATTCGGTTAACCAATAATGTAGAATTTCCTTTCTTAGTTCTTTTGATCTCTGGAGGTCGTTGTCTGTTGGCATTAGTTCAAGGAGTTTCAGCTTTTTTGCTGCTTGGAAAATCTTTGGATATTGCTCCAGGTGACATGCTTGATAAGGTAGCAAGAAGACTTTCTTTAATAAAACATACAGAGTGCTCCACCATGTGTGGTGGGAAAGCTATAGAATATTCGGCAAAACAAGGAAATAAATTACAATTTGATCTCAAGCCACCCTTGCATCGTAACAAAAATTGTAATTTTTCATTTACTGGGCTTCAAAACACTGTTGACAAAATTATAATACAAAAGGAAAAAGAGGAAGGCATTGAGACAGGACAGATCCTGTCTTCAGCTGCTGACATTGCTGCTGCAGTACAGCACACAATAGCATGCCACATTGCAAAAAGAACACATCATGCTATCCTCTTTTGTCAACAGAGAGGCTTGTTGTCCCAGACTAATGCAGTACTGGTTGCATCTGGAGGCATTGCAAGTAACCTATATATCCGAAAAGCTTTGGGTATTATAGCTGATGTAACTCAGTGCACTTTGTTGTGCCCCTCTCCCAGGCTATGCACTGACAATGGCATTATGATTACATGGAATGGCATTGAAAGATTACGTGCTGGCTTGGGCATTTTACACAGCGCAGAAGGCATCCGCTATGAACCAAAATGTCCTCTTGGAGTAGATATATCAAAAGAAGTTGGAGAAGCTGCCATAAAAGTACCATGATTAAAAATGGAGATTTGATATTTGTTTTACAAAAAGTAAACAAAACCAACAAAAAAAGAAGAAGAAGAAAAGATTGAAACTGTCAACAACTTCATTTTACTTGGTCCCACAATTAACAATCTTGATATCAGAAGTCAGGAAATCAGGTGACATATTACACTGGGAAACTCTGCAGTTAGGGGCCCCTCCAAATTTTTGAGAACTAATAATGTCAGTATGAGGACCAAGGTGTGTCTGATTCAGGCCACAGTCTTTCTGATCACTTGGTGTGCATCTGGCAGCTGGGCAATGAATAAAGATGACAGAAGAAATCAATGCCTTTGAGCTGTGGTGTTGGAGAAGAGCATTGAACATCCCATGGACTACCAAAAGAACAAACAAATATGCATTAGAGAAGGCACTGCCAGAGTACACTTTAGAGGCAAAGATAATGAGATGATGAGGCTTCACCTTACATACTTCAGGCATGTTGCTAGAAGGGGGTGTTCTTTGAATAAGACATGATGTTTGGAAAGGTAGAGGGTTGATGAAGGAGAAGAAGACCCTCGACCAGGTGGATTGACACAGTGACTGCCACAATGGGCTCTAATGTGTCAGGAAATGTGAGGATGGCACAGGATAGGACAGAATCTGTTGTTCATAGGGACACTATGGGTCAACTCAATGGCACCTAACAACAAGAACAGTATAAAAAGAATAAGCCTGCAATGAACCAATAGCTTCAAAAAAATTAAAGAACTATCACTAATCAACACAGACACAACAGAAATAGCCTAACACACACTAAAAAATGTCATAGAATGTTAAGAAAGCAGCAGGCAGCCTCGAATATTGTGAGGGGGAAAACCCACCCAAAAATTCAAGTCTTCTCCTAAAAAAAGCAGAACTTATTGCAGACTCAATGGGTACCAGAGAGACAGGTAGGCAGAAGAAAGATATTGATATGGAGCTATCTAAGTATGGGAAGCCAAACTTTACACCAAACATTATATGAAAACCCTTGTTCAGGAATCGAAGGAATTACAGATTTATAAATTAGGATTTCTCTTGTGGCAGATCCCAGAAAATGAGCTGTTTGTTCCCTGCAGACAGGAGACAACAAGGGGCCCCCTACAGAGGGAGTGTTACTACCTGGGAAATACTTCCTGAGCTAGAGAATTAGGTTGACAATAGAGAAAAATTCGGCTTCATTTACAAGGAATTCCTTTTATTATTTGCTTCCCCAGATTATCAATAAATACACAGAGAAACATGGCTTGGGGTCTTCAGTCAAGAACTGCTGGCCCCCTGTTTTATATTCTCTGCTCTATCTCATTCCTGGCTGTTTGTCTCATTATTAATAATTATAAAATCATTCCATTCTTTGGTTCCCTTGGTCTGCAACATATAAGGAGCTACTGGAGAAGGTACAAATGATAAAAAAAGAATGGAAGCCATAAATAAAGCAAATACCCTAAAGACAGGGAGCCAGAAGAAGTATACTGATGTGGAGGAACATGAACTACTACTGCAGAAATTGCAAAATAAGGAAGAAAGAATTAAGCAGTGAGGGGAAAAACAAAGAATCACCTACAAGGGAGCAACAATTAGGTTAAATTCTGATTTCTCAGCAGAAACCATGTGAGCAAGAAAATAATAGGATGGCATATACAGAAATCTGAAAGAAACCAATTGCCAGCTGAGGATCCTGTACCAAGCAAAGCTGTCCATCAATTATGCAGGATAAATTAGGTCATTTGCAGAAAAGAAAAGCGTGAACTAAAGGAATTTGTGAAAACAAGACCAATTCTACAAGGAATTCTAATGGAAATCCTTCACACAAAGAGTTTAAAGAAAAATGAACGGACCATAGCATCAACAGAAACAGAGACAGCAAAATGGCAGCAATAAAACCTGGCCTGTCAATAATCACAGTTAATGTGAATGGCTTGTATGCACCAATTAAGAGAAAGAGTACCAGAATGGATTAAAAAATGAAAGCTCAGCAATACATTGCCTATAAAAGCACATCTAAGAAACAGGGAGAAAGATGGACTAAAAATCAAAGACTGGAAAAATAGTATGCCAAGCAAATGGCATCTACAAAAAAAAAGCAGGAGTAGCAATACTAATTTATGATAAAATTAAGACTTCAGGATGAAAACCACCAAAAAGATAAGAAAGGGGCGCTATACAGTGATTAAAGACACAGTAGATCAAGAAGACCTTATCTTGTTCAAAATCTACACACCAAATGTTGTTGTATGTGCCGTTGAGTTGTCTGCAGTTCATAGCCACCCTATGTAAAACAGCTATGAAGCCTGTCCTATACTGAGTCAGTCTCACTGATGCTTCCACACCTACTCCCATAGCCTCAGTTACTGTATCAATTAATCTCATCCTGGGTTTTCCTTTCCTGCCCTGTCTCTCCACCCTTCTGAGCATGTTGTTTTTCTCCAAGGACTACTGTTCCCTCCTGGACACATGCCCAAAGTACATGAAATGGCGCTTCAGAATCCTAGTCTCCAAGAAGAAACCCTCTCCAAGACAGACTTGTTTTCTTGGTGGTCCAAGACTCTTTTCCAGCACCACAACTCAAAGGCATTGATTCTTTTCCTGTCATCCTTAGTCATTGTCCAGCTTTCTGATGGACAAGTAATTACACAGACCAGTCTCAAGACTGACATCATTGCTTCTCAGTACTCAGGAGAGGTCCCTGATAACAGATTTTCCCAGGGCAATTCCTCTTTTGATTTCCTGTCTGCTAGTGCTAAGAATGCTGATTGTGTAGCTGAGCAAATGCAAATTGTTAACAATCTCAGTCTCTTCTCCGTCTATCATGGTGCTATCAATTGGCCCAGTGGTGAGAATCTTTGTCTTTTTGATGTTGAACTTCAATCCATATTGAAGACTACAGTCTTTGGCTTTCTGCAGCAAGGACTTCAGGTTCTCCTCAGTTTTGGCAAACAAGCTTATGTCATCTGCACAACGCAGGTTGTTGAGTTGTCCTCCGATCCGAACCGCACTTGCATCCGCATGGAACTCAGCCTCCCAAATGACTTGTTCCGTACTTAGATTGAAAAGTTATGGAGACAGGATGCATCCCTGTCACACTCCTTTCCTGATCTTAAAGCAGGCAGTGTTTCCTTGCTTCGTTCTGATAATCTCATCTGAGTATAGGTTTTGTATGAGCACAATTAAATGTTCTGGGATTCCCATTCTCCTCAAGGTTAGCCACACTTTGTTGTGATCTACACAGTCAACTGCCTTTGCATAGTCAGCAAAACACAGATGACATTCCTCTGACATTTTGCTTTTGGCCAAGATCCATCTGATATTGGTGGTAATGTTTGTAGTGCCATAACCTCTTCTAAACTCAGTATATTTCTGGTAGTTCTCTGTACTGTTCGTGTTGTTTTGGGATAATCGTCAACAGGATTTTGCTTGCGTATGGTATTAGTAATATTGTTTGATAATTTCCATACTCTGTTGGGTCAACTTTTTTTTAATGGAATAAAATATGGATCTCTTACAGTCAGTTGGCCATAGAGTCATCCTCCAGATTTCTTGATGCAACCTGGTGAGCACATCCAGCATAGGAATGTTTGTTGAAATACGACTTAACATGCAGTATATAAAACCAATCTCTTGCCAGAAATGGTCCACACACTATTGCGTCTACTTCTACTAATCACTAGGGCTGATATTCATTGCAAATAGTTTTGGGATTAATTAGGGGAACACATGGAGGAAGAGGTGGTAGGGAAAGCAAAGGAGAATATCACATAGTAAAAGTCCAGCAACAAAAGTGCAAGAAACATTTGATTTCCTAATAGTCCAGTTAGCTTGGTCTCACAGCATTTCAAAGTCAGCTTTTTCTTCAATGATCCAGCCAGCAAAACTTCTCGCTTTGCCTCTGTCTGGCTCCATCAGGCTAAGCCTTGCCACAGTTCTTCCATAGTGTGGCCAGCTCTCCTTTTTATGTTGGCTTCACAGCTGTTGACTATGTAGAAGATGTTGATCAGCAGGAAATTATGAGCTCACAGTTGAGGCTGTTGACCAAGTCCCTGGGGGTAGGGGTGGGGTGGCTAAGATAATAGATAGAAAAGCAAAAAATCTCACCACCACAACAACCTTTGGGTACTGAAACTCCACTCTTGCTGCTTCACATACTCTTCCAGCCATTTCTCAGTTTCATATTCCTTGAATATGGTGGCAGCCCATGGCTGGATCACACACCAAACCTCACAAATGCATGAGGAGGATCTGTTATTGATCTCAAGCTGGGTAAAGGAACGGGCACATCCAGGGTTTGTCTGATGCTGCCTATCCACACAAAGATTCTCACTGATTTGTTAATAAACTAGCCCATAAAGGCTTAACTTGGATCTCTTGGTTTCTAGTCCCTGAGGCTAGCAGCTTGCATGACCTAGGGTAGCTACTCTTCATGGCTGCAGGACTGTCCTTCTCTCCACTGGTTTCTGCTCCAGTCACACACAGGGACTTTACATCCCTGGGACAACCTGGCTGGTGACCACTTCATCTATCCTGCCAACAAAGATAACCTATCCTACATATCCTGTTCAAAATGCACTGAGAATTCTGCCAGCCTGTCTTCAACTCTATATCCCAGGGACGACTGAGGGAAATACTACTCACCCAGGAAATATGCACTAGATTAAGCTCTGAAAATTGTTAGAAAAGTGGCTCAGTGTTGTAACAGAGCTACAAAAGCACACAAAAAAAATCTCTACAAGGCAAAAGTTTACTTCTGCAGAAAGGTACACAGCAGGAAAAGGTCTGGCCAGCCAGCATACCAGGAAGGTATTTTGCCAGGATTATATCTCTGAACCAAGCCCAAGGCTGTATCTCACCCTATTGGTCAAGAGTTTCAACCTCACAATCTTGCTTCTACCCAATTGGATAGTTTGAACTGGGCTTGGAGGGAAGGAGGTTGGAGATTGAAGAAGTTTGGAATGTTGGGAATGTCATTGTTTCCAATGAAATAGTTCCAGTTCCAAGAACTGATTGATTGTTTC